AGCCCATTGCTCCTTGTTCTGCCACCTGCCCCCACTGAGAACAGCCTCTCACCATCCTCTCTGGAACCTCCCTTCAGGAAGTTGCAGGCTGCTCTCAAATCCCCCCTCACTCTTCTCTTGTGCAGACTGAACAAGCCCAAAAGGCTGCTCTCAAATCCCCCCTCACTCTTCTCTTGTGCAGACTGAACAAGCCCAAACCCTCAGCCTCTCCCTGTAGCTCATGTGCTCCAGCCCCCAAATCATTTTGGTTGCCTCTGCTGGACCCTCTCCAATGCGTCCACATCCTTTCAGTAGTGGGGGGCCCAGAACTGGACACAACACTCCAGATGTGGCCTCACCAGAGCTGACTAAAGGGGAATAATCACTTCTCTGGATCTGCTGGCCATGCTCCTCCTAATGCCCCCCAATATGCCAGTGGCCTTGGCTACAAGACGCCCAGTTGACTGTAAATGACATGCAATGAAATGGGAGAAGCCCTAATCCTGGGGCCTGGGGATTTTGTTCTGCCCCAGCAAGGACCGTGGTCCACGTGTCGCTCTAGCCGGGAATCGGGAAGGCAAAGCATCCGTGGACATACTGTAGCCTGAAGGAAGAATTCCTTAAACCGCTGGCTGGAGCTCTCGGGGTTCTGCGGGTTCCACTCCTCTGAGCTCAGCTCCCGGAGCCGAGAATCCCCTTCCTCAAGCCAGCAGCTGAGCTGTAAGAAGACACCAATAGGGGCTCCCCATTATTTAACAGCAGCCCCTTCCCTGGGGGTCCCCCCTCCTTCCTTTGGGGCACCCAGATTTCACAGAGCTCCAAGAAAACCTTGTTCTTCTCCACGCTCCCTTGGTATCTGGAGCCCAGGAGAAGGGCCGAGAAGTTTATTTGCTCCACTCAGCTCAGAGCCTGTCCCGGCGGCTACGTCTAGACTGCAGGCTCCTTTCGGAAGAGAGCGTCCACACGGCACGAAAGACAGCGGCCACTTTGATTGGACGCTCTCTCGCATTCCAGTTGTGATTAGTCTGGACAGACTGGCCACCAGGGCACCCCTGTTATTTCCCTCTTCTGTGTCTGCACGCGCCTATTTCCGAAAAAGGCTTCTTCCTCGTGGAATGAGGTTTACGCTGTCGGAAAAACTCTGTCGAAAGACCTCGATGGCAGCGTGGACGCAAGTATTATTATCTTGGGAAAACGCTGCAGTGTAGACACACCCGGACTCTGTCCACACTGTTAGTTTTTTGCAGACGAGGAAATGCAAATGAAGCACGCGTTAGCAAATCTTGCACTCTCATTTGCATATTCCCCTCTGATCCTTTTTGCGAAGAGGTTTTTGTGAAAAAAACCCGCAGTGTAGATGGGGCCATTTTTTGGAAAAAAACCCTTTTGTGCAAGATCCTGTAAATCTCATTTTTTGAGGAATAAGGGATCTTGCACAAAAGGTTTTTTTTTTCCGAAAAATGGCCCCATTTAACACAATGCTATTGCTTATCCTTATTTCTAGTTTAAACTAAACCATTTTAACCCAGCTCTGCTGTCTCCTCTTCTCACCCTCCTCCCTGTCATAAGATACAACCATAGCCCCTCCTTGTAGTTTAAGAAAACTGATTGCCAATTTGGAGGGAAAAGCTTGACTCTCCCCCATCTCTAGGGGGGCTGAGGCATCCTAGGCCTGCCCTGGAATCTGATGACATCTGTGCTGTGCTGTATCCTGGAGAAGCAATAAACTCCTCTGTTCTACTGGCTGGGGGAGTCTGTTCATGCCATTACAGGGGTGCAGGAGGTGGGAAAACCCCAATGCGCCATCACAGCAAGATCCCTTATTCCTCAAAGATTGAGGTTCACCTTGCTGAATTCTGCCTCCAGCTCCCGGATCTGCCGGAGGAGCTCCAGACGCTCCAGGCAGCGGTTGGATTTTGTTACCAAAGCGTGAACGTCTTCCTCCACTCGGCTGTAGAGGCCCAGGGCGGAGTCCAGGCTGTTCCTTAGGGCAGAAAAGGGGACAGGTCTGCCCAGCCCATCTCTGCTCAGCAGAGCTGCAGCCGCCCCTCCTAGAACTAGAGGGGAACCTTGTGGGGCAGCTGCAAGTCAGACCCCTCCACCCCCGCTTCCTGGAAAGGAAACCAGCAGCGGGGGTCCTCTGCACAGCCCTCTCCACGGGCCCGGGGAGCCCAGCTGTGGGGCACCTTCCACAGGAGCTGGGCTCTAGCTCTGGCCCGGGGCACCAGCTGGAG